AATCCCAGCTTGAAACCCAGTCTTTCTGCAAGCAGTTTGCAGGTCCATGCTTTGGTTCTGTTCGGGTTCTCCAGCTTCCTCCCAAAATATAAAAAACATGACTAATTTCTAGATAAATCAGAATCCCACCAAATTGAGTTTTACTGCTCATCTTTCTGCCTTCACGTATATATGATAATTCACTAGAGAGACCCTTCATGCCTACAACAATCAACATCTACACCTCCCTGAAGAAACCCCTATAATATTACAACAGCATTTCACTTCCTTTTTCATTGGGATTAATAAAGTATTATTAAAATGAAATACATAGAAAAACAAATAATCAAAACACGGTTTTCTTTTTTTATAGAAAAGATTAAGACTCTAAGTAACAAACACATGTAAATACTGCTCCTTTATGCATATTTCTAATTGTCCCTGAAGTTTTTTTTTATATTTTAAATGAAAGTTGATACAATGTGAGTGATGGAAACCAAACTTGACCAATAAAAATGTTTCTGATAGAAATTTAAATTATAGCTTTTGGAAAACACTTTGTTTTTAAACAGGTAACACACAAAAATGCTTTTAAATTCTTATAGTTCTAATTAATTGTGATTGCACTCACCCTTTCATAGCTCTCAGCTTCAACCTGTCTTTGCTTCCTCAGCTGCTTGGCAACCGACTTTGGCAGCATTTGGTGCAGCAGATCTTCAGCCAGCTTCCTCTGCCACTTCAGATCCTCAGTTTTCTCCGTCAAGCTTTGAGCATAGTTCTCTATCCACTCTGTCATCTGCTTGAAGGAGAACATCACCACAGGGTAGATGAGGCACGCCATGGCGAGCAGGCAGATCCTCATGCTGAGGACTGAAGACATGGATCGAGATGCCAGCCGGAGAGCCAGGGATGCACGATCAAACAAACACTGCTGTGCTTTTATCAGAGCCTGAATTCCCGTGGGAGTCCCTGAAAGAAGCCTATTTCCTGTTCCAGAGATCTTCCATGGACTCAGGTCCAAAATAGACACATGTGGAGCTTTTAGACTCCGGTTTATTTTGAGCTCTATATTTTCTGACCAGCAGCAGTTCAGTTGCTCTGACATTACTTTACACAAACTCAGATAGCTCAGTGTTTGAGTCCATCTGAGCTGAAAGTCAGCAGGAGTCCCAGTGTTGTGATAGAGCATCAGCTGGTAGTTAAGTTCTATGAATGTTACTAGAAGTCTGGCAGACAGAATATCTCTCCAGTTAGAGTTTTGTTTGGCATCATCTAAATCAGCTTCTACTGAGCCCCAGGTGTTCAAAAGTCTCTCTATGACCTGAGTGAAAAGTGAAATTGGGCTGTTTGTATCCAGGGTGGCATTTAGAAATGTCTGTATGCTTCTCTTCATCTGCAGGCAAAAAACAGACAACTCAGCACTGCAAGAAAACCTTTGGAGGTTCAACATTTTAGCACAGAGGTGATCTATTGGCTGGAAACCTGATGACAGGGTCTCATTGCTTGTGTCTTTGGCCAATAAATGCCTAATCTTCTGAAGTTCACTTATGAGTTGCAGGAGAGCTATTGTCCTGCATGAAGTCAGCTCATTGTATGCAGCTTCTGTGGCATCTAGTAAATCAAAGTTGGAGCTGAGGTCGAGGGATACAGAGCCAAGCAACGCCAGGAAGGAGAGGAGGCAGGCTGTCAAAATCCGACGGACGGAGCGACTGCTGCCAGACTGAGAAAACATGAAACACCTGAAACACAAGAACACAACCACTGATTGTTGTCACAGTACTTTCTTAAGCTTGAGGTTTGCAGATGTTCTTGACCACTTTAAAGTTTAGATCCTTATCCAAACCTTCGGGCTCCCGTCAAGCCATATCTGAATGGGAGCCTGACTTCTCAATCAGGTTTGGAAGCATTTATACTTCCACTGAAATTAGAACAAAACAAATAATTTAGGATTCAATTATTATATCAACAAATCATTTAAGAATGACACCTTTATTCCAACAACTCTCTGTGACCCTTTAACACTAATTTCTACAATCCAATCTTTTTAGGGCAATAATCTTCTAGGGCAATAAAAATCCTCTCAACCGGAGAAATATGTAGCTGGCATGCAGAGAAAATCGCTTGAAACAGCTGCAGCCATGTAGTTCATCGTGTGAGTGATATCTAACACATTGATAGTGGGATGAGA